ACCAGGTTGGCGACTTGCCAATGGGCAGCTACGAGATTGCACCGGAACAGGCCCTGGAGACAGCCATCCGCTTTGTCAAAGAGGGCCGAGTACAAGGTGTCAAGCTCGAAGGCGGCAAAGAGATGGCGCCTACCATCCGGAAAATCACATCTGCGGGCATTCCTGTACTTGGCCATGTGGGGTTGACGCCGCAACGGCAGAACTCGTTGGGCGGCTTCAGGGTCCAGGGCAAAACCTCCGACGGCGCTCTCAAACTCCTGGAGGATGCGCTGGCTGTGCAAGAGGCCGGCGCATTCGCCATGGTCGTTGAAGCCGTCCCGGCTGAGGTGGCTGCGCTCGTCACCGAGAAGCTGTCGGTTCCCACTATCGGCATCGGTGCTGGCAATGGCTGCTCGGGCCAGGTCTTGGTACAAGTCGACATGACCGGAAACTTCCCTCCCGGTCGCTTCCTGCCCAAGTTTGTCAAGAGGTACGGCGATGTCTGGGGCGAGAGCCTCAAAGCCATCGAGGCCTACCGCGATGAGGTGAAGAGCCGGCAGTATCCTGGGCCGGAACATACATACCCTATTTCCGAGGAGGAACTCGAGACGTTTTCCAAGACTCTGGAGAGGTTGTGAGAAGCTGGCTGTCAGCTGCTAGAGCGTTGCATAGCATTAGATTTGGGTTGCGTTATTGGTGTTGAGGCGGCTGGGGGCGGGTACATTTTTGCCTCGTTTAGTAGGTAGCCACCTGTTGGATACCACTTAATAGCGTACTTGCCAAATCTCAGCCAAAGGCTGGATTCATGGCGTACGAAATGATAAGCTGGCCGCTTGAGTCTTTGAAACACTGTTACCACATGTCAGCAGGCGTAGCCGTGATGTGCGAGTCGTCTGGTACTCACATTATGCAGATTACCAACGATCTCGTCGAGAGAGGGTGCGAAGGAGTCATTAACGTAGCAAAAGACGCTGTCTGTCTCTTGCAGCTTGAGCCTTTTGCGCAGATACCAGATGACGGTATGAAATGTCTGGGTGGAGGAGATTTTGGCCACGCCCCGGGTTAGGGAAGGGGCGTTCCCAACGGCCTTGAACTTGACCACGACCTTCTCAGATGGGTACTCCCCGGCACTGGCCAGGGCGGAGGCCACATCGCGTGGTTGAGCCGTCAGGATAGCCGAGGCGGACATGGTGAGAGGTATCTCGGGGGAAGCTGGGCGGTCCGGGATGGTTGCTGGAGCAGGCGAGGCCGAGCCCGACCTCGGGAAGCCCGGTGAGGGAGGGCTTGTCACCATTGTTGGCGCTTGGTTTTGGCACTTGGGCGTCTGTCAATGTGTATGTTGCTGAGCCAGCAAGCGGTCTCCAGATTGTGAATGTTGTCAGTTGATAGATTGCCTAGGCACCATGAGGTGAGGAAGTGAAGCAAGCGTTGGAGACCGAAAACCCCGTGGTCGCGCTGGGAGTATGTGGGGTAAGGAAGGTTACTACAATGTACCTAGGTACTGGCATCCACTTTGGCAATGCCTGGCCGCAGCCCCGGGAACGGGTTGGTTGCCTACTTTCCCCGCCAAGTACACACTCTCCAGGCGGTCTTGCCCGCTGACAAAGGTAGGCCCATACGGATACTGGTGGTAGGTACATAGGTACCCCATGAACGATGAAGTTCACCCCGTTCTTCAAACGAACTTTCAAGACATGCAAAATGTCTTGCTCGAGCTTGTTAAGCAATGACAATCCCACCAAAATCTGGCCTCCAGCTCCGCCTAGAGCCTTTTTGCGCACGAATATGACCAAGTGCCGAGACACTTGGTAGGACTGACCGTAGGCGCAGGCTCTGGTTGCCGTTCGGCCCGTAGACGGTAGCGTGCATGGGGAGGATCTTACCGAGACGCTCAAAGCAAAAGGCTACATATGGATGAATGGAATGCGACGATCATTTATTAGCATTGCGCTGTGTGGCGCCGAATCGGCTTCTTCCCCTCTCACCGCACATTCCGTGTAGCATCTGTATGGGCCGCAGAGCGCTTTCCAGCTGTCGTTGACGCGGGTCACGAAGCTACCCAGGATGCTCCTATTGTTCTCGGTTATGCGGACGAGGACAATATGAACAGAAAAGTGTCCACTTGATCGAGTTTACAGTTGGTCTATGTTGTTGCAGCAGTCGTAAGAGAATCATGCACGGGAGACAGACGGTAGGAGAAGACCATGGAAGACAGTGTTCGAGTTCAACCGTTCTTCCTTCTTTGTCCGCCACGCAGCCACCAAACAATCTGAATAGGCAGGTATAATGGTGATTCACTTCTAGCTGCCGTCATCTGTCTACCTACCTACCTACCTATGTAACACCGCACCTTCTTATTGCTACCATGACCCCTTATATACTGTCCTAGCCCGCGCAAGTATCCGGATACCATGCCACAATAAACTTCATCCGTTCTTTTGTCGCTAGTTAGGCCTGGAACAGCACTGCATCTTCACAGCTATAGAAAAGATGGCGATACCACCGAGTCTCGCATCATCGCACGCCTGGGCTCTGCGGAACGACCTGAGCAAGCTGCGGACTTTGCAATTTTCCGCCGAGGAACTTTCGTTGGACGGCAACAGTCTCGACGTTGCGACTGTAGTCGCTGTTGCTCGGCATGGACTTACGCCTCACGTCAAGGACGACCCTGAGATCAAGAGGAGGGTTCTTCAGAGTACCGAAGTCCTCGACCGCTTTGTTGAGAACGGTTGGGTTGTGTACGGCGTCAATACGGGCTTTGGCGGTAGTGCGGACTCGCGAACGGAGCAACTCAAAAGGCTCCAAATCTCCTTGCTTCAACACACGCAAAGTGCCATCATCACCTCTACAGACTTGGCACACGGCCAGGTCGACAAAGATGGACAGTCGCACGTCATTCCCTCGGCTTGGGTCAAGGCTGCCATGGTCATCAGGGCCAACCAAAACCTTCGGGGCCACAGCGCCGTCAGGGTTGAGGTCATCCAAATTTTACTCAGTCTCCTCCACCACGACATTACACCGATGGTGCCCCTACGAGGGACCATATCGGCGTCAGGAGACTTGATGCCACTGTCTTACATTGCGGGGACTTTGATCGGGGACCCTAACATTTTGGTCACCATTGGATCAGGCTGCAACAGGCAAGTCATGCCGGCCTGTGAGGCCTTGAAGAGATGCGGTATTCAGCCTGTCGAACTGCAGCCGAAGGAGGGTCTCGGCCTGATCAACGGAACTGCCCCCTCTGCTGCTTTGGCTAGCTTGGTTATCCACGAGGCGAATCAACTGGCGTTGCTCGCTCAGGCCCTGACAGCATTTACTTCCGAGTGTCTCATTGGGAATGTCGAATGGGCAAATGAGTTCATACACAAGATTCGACCTCATACCGGGCAAGTCGAGGCAGCACGCAATATCCGAAGCTTCCTCAAGTCGTCCGATTTTGTGCTTGGTCTCGAGACCAAGAAGAGGACGGGACATGGGCTTTGGCAGGACAGATATTCCACAAGGACGGCACCGCAATGGATCGGGCCCTACCTCGAGGATCTCATGCTTGCACAACACCAAATCGAGGTAGAACTCAACTCGACATCCGACAATCCAGTCATCGACATCGGCACAGACGGTGGCAATACTCCTGGAGATATTTACTCCGGAGGCAACTTCCAGGCAACGGCTATTACTTCGGCCATGGACAAAACGAGAACGGCTCTCCAGATGATTGGCCGTATGCTCTTTTCTCAATGCTCCGAGTTGATCAATCCGGCGACGAACAACGGACTCGACCCGAACTTGGTCTTTGGAGACCCCGGCGAGTCCTACACCATGAAGGGCATCGACGTCAACATGAGTGCTTACATGTCAGAATTGGCCGCTCTTACCCATCCTGTCTCCTCTCACGTGCAATCGGCCGAGATGCACAATCAAGGCATCAACTCCCTGGCTTTCCTCTCCGGCCGAAGAACCATGGAAGCCGTCGACGTTCTATCGCACATGTGTGCTGCTCACCTGCTTGTTTGTTGCCAGGCGGCCGACTTGAGGGACTACTACGAAAGATTTCTTTGCTCGATTCCTGTCACCAGAATTCTCAGTGAATGCGATATTGGACTTGACAGCGTCCAGGTGGAAAAGTTGACGACCGGTCTGGACGATTCGATCCGCACCTGGTGGAACGAGGCAAACAAGCTTGGCCACTCACAACGCTGCTCCATCGTGGCTTCCAGGGTTACATCTCACGTCATGGACATCATCGTGCAAGAAGAGATTGGAGGTGTGTCCCTGAAAGCTGTCATGGGTCTTCAAGAGGAGTTTTGTCGTAGTATGGAGGTGTGGTTCAAGGACATCACCAACAACCCCAAGATCATCCACTTAAACTCGACAGCCGCTCACGCTGCGTACCTCGAGGGGCTGGGTCAAGGCTCCTCGCTACTTTTCGGGCTTGTCCGCGGTAAGCTAGGTGTTAGGTTCCATCAGGGGCTTAGGGAGGAGCAGAGCAGTACCATTGGTACCAGCGTGTCCCGGATTTATGAAGCAATTCGAGAGGGTATTGTCGTACCGGCGCTGATGCCGTGTCTCGAGGAAGGTAGCGGCAAATCTACAGAACCGGGAACGGAAACTCCAGTAAGCAGCGACGCAAGTATCGGCTCGGTCGGTGTTTCGGGGAGAATGTAGTATAGTGTGCTGCAAAGACGAGGTCGACGTCGTGTGCGACCACTCGGGTCAGAATCGGTTTATTTGACTAGGTACCCAGAGAAGCGCTCAACTCACATCGGGAGTATCCCGAACCAATATCAGTCCCTACTGCCACAAGCTACCCATGCTTTCTCGTAGAAGAACAACTAAACAGGCACTGTGTGTGGCATGTACATAAATACGATTTTAGATACTTGCTGGTGATGGGGCAGTGCACCACCACGTTTGAGGGACACCCGCAATCGAAGTGTACTTACTTTGTTTACCACAAAAGCAAAATGAACAAGAGTGCCACCATGTGGGAGATGATATTGTGTCACTTTAGCAAAACTGAATGTCCCTAGCAAGGCTCGAACTTGCGACCTTTGGATATCCCGACCTGAAGGCAGGGTCATATTGATAGGAATATGAGACCAACGCTCTACCGACTGAGCCATAGAGACAATGTAGAACTACAAGGTTCAATCGTTGCGTGTTGGCGTTTTCGATTGGATTATCAAGCATTATCTGGTGGAGACTAAGGTTTACCGGGATGAATCAAGTGAAGAGGGGCTTCCGGCGCCGACGGGAGGGAGGCGGCCTGTGCACGCGCCGGCCGCTGAATGCAGCTTGGGTACCTACCTACCTACCTAGGTAGGTATGTCTACACGGGCACAGCCGCGGGCCCGGGTGTGAGCTTGAACGCGTCGGTCGGTCCCTGGCTTTTTCATCATGGCGACGGCCTTTGCACATTCCGCGTTGAAGCCCCCCCGCTTGCATCTCGTCCTCTTCTCCACTTGGCCGGTTAGTCCAATTGCGCAAGCAGAATGAAAAACAGCAATGCCTCGAGATCGTCAGGTAATCTTCAATAGTGTGTTCCGTTACCGGTATTAGGTACGGTCAAACGGTCACGGGGAACCACCACTCTCCCCGACATCTAGACACTGGTTCGTGAGATGGCGCCCTCAACCGCTCCCCGACTAAATTAGCCAGCAAACAGATTTCCGACCCCCGGACATCGTGGCTGTCAATGCACTCCCGGTCTTCGGAGATTTCGTAATTATACGTTGGCTGCTGCTCTGGGAGGATTTTACACATGTGCCTCCTACCCGCGCCGGTGGCTCTCATGACATCATTGACGCCCTCCCGTCCGGCCATTGTCACAACGAACCTGCATCAGCATGAGAAATGCAAAGATGAAAATGCTTGAATTCGCCTCAACGCCCTTCTGAAGGAAACGATGCCTTGAGTTGCCCCTGGCTACACCCGCAGCGGCATGCTTTTCCAAACCATGCAGTTTCTTCGTGTTCAACGTACAGTATACACAAGCATAGACTGTTCAATGATATATCTACACCATACTTTCATTATGACGCGCCGTCTTGGTCTCTTCACACCTGCCCGCATGCCGCTGCCTCTGATCATGTACGGCCATTGCCGTCCGCCTCGCCCGCGCCAAATAAGGAAAATTGAGCCGTTGTGGTATAAAATGCTCCATGCCGAACGCCATTGTGCATGCAATGCTTTCAGTACGAGCCGCCAATTAGTGGAAGACGAAGGGAAGAGAAAATAAACATGACCGGATACCGAACATGGTTTCATGTTGGGCAGTACTCTGGTATCATTGGTTCCACTGGATGTGGAACAAATCCGTAGCTTTTTTTTTTTTGGTAATGTGCGCCGTGCTTTTAAACGTGAGGGCGTCAGCAAGAGAGAGGATGGGGGCGGCGAGAAGACTAGTTGAGAGCGGGGCAGAATCGGTATCAAAATATCGGGCAATATAGATGAAGTGATCCGCGAACCGGCCATGCCTACAAGGACTCGTCCGCGTAGCCGTCGTGGTGGGAGTGTTTGGAGTATCTGGGTGCTCGGCCCAGTTGACTTAGAAGCTCATCCAGCTCGGCCCAGTTGTCACTGTTTTCGGCAAACTTGCGATGTTTGCGAGTGAGAATGTGCTTTCGAGATGTTAGCTTGGTGCGGCACAAGCAATGTTCACTTTGGACGTACCTCATCGAAGTCTTTGAACTTGTCCTGGCAATTCTCGCAATACCCCGGCTTCAGATCTCGCCTGTTCTTGGGAGCCGGTGCTGCCGTCTTGGAGCTGGTTCTGGAGAGCTTAGAACTCTGCTTGTCAGGGTCCTCCTCAATAAGTTCCATTCGCCTGCTAGTAGTCCTAGAGACACTAGTGGACCTAGTAGAGGTCGCCTCTAACGACATCTCGGTCAGTCGTCGAGAGCTGGCATCGGGAGGCGTGGGAGCTCCCCTTTGCAGCACCTTGCGTTGCAGACCATGCACTTCCTTGCTAGTGCCAGCCTTTGCGCCGTTGATTCCAGAAGTAGACGAAATCATTTGCGAGCGGATGGCCGATGTGATGTTGGAGGGCTGCACTCCAGAAGCCACAGGCTCGCCAGCAAAGAAACGGCCACTACCAGTGCGACCGGTGAAAGCGTTTTGTGTCCGTCCAAAATCGATCGGATTGGAAACCACAGCCTTGGGAGGGTTGAAGACGTCCATGGGCTTCGCCGCAGACCCTGCCCTGTGTTGCTCATCTTGCATTTCAGAGAGCGTGCGCTTTCCAATGACAGCCTTGGGAGCAGGAATCTCTGGGGGGTGAAGGGATTGGCGCTCCTCAGCCGCAGCCTTCGTGGCAGGACGCTCCTTTTGCTCTTTCGGCTCATTCTTTTCCTTTTGCTGCGTCGATGGCTTTCTGCCAGGGCGTTCGGCTGGCTCCGGCTCTTCAACAAATGGACAGCGTCCGTCCGTAACGGTCCTGAACTGGGGCCACTCGCCATCGTATTTGTTATTGACCTTCGGATACTCTCGCACCATAATGGGCTTCTGCTTCTCATCAATATCGTAGACGTAGATGTACGGTCCTTTGAAGTTGATCATTTCCCTGCTGGTCACGGCATCAGAGGGACCGTTCAGTCGTTCGTGCTGCAACAACTGCAACAGTCCGGGTTCCTCCGTCGTCCTCTTGGTCCCTAGGTTCCTCACAGGCTCGCCCTTGGCACCGTAGGCGGCGACAACATGTGGATCCGGCTCCAGCAGAAACTGAAGCATCCTCTGGAACTTCTCGACGGACCAAATCTTCTTGCCCATGTCACGGGCTTTATGGAGAACATCGTTACTCTGGGTCGATCGCGTCCGCCTGGTTCTGTCGTCCTGCGGTTGCATGTGGGCATGGGCTCGTCTCGACGTGGTCTCCAGCAGGAGACGCCTCCGTGCATCGGTCGAGCGGTCGAGAAGGGACGGATTAATGGTCTGGGGTTGCTCTTCGGGCCCGGTGTCGTGTGCAGTGGCTTGCACGTCCTCTTGCGCAGGTATCGGGCGGGCGGTCACGACGTGAGTGATACTGCTCGAGAAGAATCGCTCGTCCCTCTATAGAATTACGGTGTCAGTCGACGATGCCCACGTTGTTCAGGTCCACATGCAAAACATACGGCTCCGAGAGACTGTGCATGTCTGGACAGCTTGGCTCTCTGGTCTTCGGGAACACTGTCAAAGTAGAAGACCATTTTTGGGAACCTTCCCCGGTACTCGGCCTGCCACTGACGGATTCTCTCAACGCTGGCGTCATCGTGATGTGTCGATCGTTCCTTTGTGACGGGTCGGCCCACACGTTGGGGTAGCTGGGAGGCCTTGGTGACCTTGGACGGAGACCGTAGTTGACGCGACCCAGCATTCTCAATAGCCTGCTTTTTGTAGGGTGGCGGCTGGGCGTAGAGCTCTTCTCGCTGTATGTTGGCGTGGGATCGCTTCTGCTTGGCCTGGGCCATAGCAGAAGCAGCTCTCAAGGGCGAATTGGCCACATTGGGGTTGCTAGACAGAGGCGTTCGTCTAGCGGACATGGCCGGGGGAGGGACGAGGTTCGGTGATAGGGATATGGCTGCCATAAAAATGCCCAATCAATACGGTCGACGAGAAGAAAACGAGAGAGCTCGTTTGATTTGTCGGGTGGACTTGTTGTTTGACAAGACTGACTGACAAATAAGCAAACAGAGAGAGAAAGAGAGAGAGAGAGTGTGTGTGTGTGTGCGTGTGGTGGTGGTGGTGTCGAGAGGGGTTGCTCTGTGGACGACGGGCACGCGACGTGGTAGGCTAGCACACGTCGCTCACGCGTACCAACAGAGACCGTGTCGAAGTCGTCACAAAGACATTGAAGAGCGCCGCGAGAGCTGGTAGATGTTACGGAACCACCAAAGGGAGGAAGCAGTGAGGGACGACGGGGACGATGTCGAGCAGCACCACGAGGTGTGTGGTTTGGTGTGAGCAGGTTTGGTTGGAAAGAGCTTTATTAACGAGGAAGAGCGGTTGATGGATGTTGTGTGGTGCGTGGGAGAAGGTCCCCCCGTCGATGGAGCCGAATGACCCAAGTCGCGCTTGACGGGTTTGGGAGGGGAACAACAGCGCTAATCCCAGTTGGACACGACCAAAAACACGCACGGGCCAGCCGCCTCTCCAGCAACCGTCCAAATTTTGCTTGGCCCAGCGCGTCTCACAGTGAACTACGGCAGCCGTGGTACAGTGAAGGGTCACTGTAGATGGAGACCAACAACAACCCCAACCTGTAATAGGCGACGGCAGCAGCCTGGAAATTGGATGGAGCCCCCCCCGTGCGAAAACATTGGAAGAAAATCCTGCTCCTTTCCGGGGCCCTGTTGGGTCCATTTTCCGGTGTGTTTACGCAATGGTTCGCTTCTGAGGTAGTAATGTACATAGTGTGTGTGTGTGTGCATATACGATGTTATTTGACTTATCTGGTATGATTTGTTTGCTGGGTTAGTTTGGGTCGGGGTCGAAGACATGAAAAGCACCATTTCACACCAGGATGCATCAACAACGTCGAATCCATCCGTCCGTCCGTCCGTCCGTCCATCCACAACCAACATCCATTCCATGAAGGTACGTGCCTCCCACTGCCCCCTTGACCTGATAATACCTGTCTGTATTCACTGCACTGGCTTACCTACTTCCTTACCCAAGTATCAGTCGATAGGTATGTAGTGTAGGTATCCATCCGTATGTACTCACTGTACCGACATGGGTAGGGGGTGTGGTGTGTAACAAACCATGCATCCTGCACGGATAGGAGAGCATGCAACAACACTTGCAGATGCAGAACCACACCTCTTCGTTAGATACATAAAACAACAATAATAACCCACACCCGTCCTCGCTCACAAATATCATGCAATCAGCTCAAACCGTCCGTCACATTGTGGCATAATACCCAAAAGGGACTCACTCACCTCAATACTCACTCACACCTCACTCTTCAGTCTAACGGCAAGTCCGCATGCGCCAGGCCCAATTGACGAGTCAGCAGTGTCTCGCAATTCCCAGTGCACCCGTCGCACCTTTGCTGCAGGACACAGAGGAAATGACCTCATCCAAGTTGTAATAGCCCTCCACTTTCTCTGGCACCCTTCCTACCTTTCTGCCCTTGCTCGGCTATCACCAC